GATTTAACGGGGGCTTGCGAAACTTTTTTTTGCAAGGACACGGGGGTTTTCCCCCTTTCCCTTCCTGAAAATGGGAAAAAACCCCCCCCCTTGAACCCCTCGGCATCCCCTGCTGCAGGTAGTTTTTTTTCTGGCCCAACTTCCATAGTAACCGCAAATCTTGCGCATCGGAACCCGCTGTCGCGCCACGGCATCCGCCCCCACGGCGTGCGCGGCGCGCGTCCGTACAGCCCGGTCCCGACAGCTGCGCAGCGCGAAGAAGAGGGGCGACGCGACGCCCTCGCCGAGCGTCAGGCTCAGATTTCCACCTGCGCCATCTTTGTCGTCACCGGAAAAGAGCTCGAGCGTCTCCGTGACGATCTCGTCAAACTCGGCCGTGAAGGCGTCAAAGGCTAGGTCGGTCGGGTCATGGCAGCAGCAAAAGTGCACGTACAGGACCAGCCAGTAGAGGCGCACGACGCGCAGCTCCTTGCGGGCCGCAACGTCGAGGGCCGGAAGACGCCGTGCGTACTCGCGCAGCACGGGGGTCCAGCGGTGCAGCTGGGCGAGGAAGACCTTTTGCTTGGCGCGGATGGCGGCCCTGTAACGCGCGCCGGGGCCGGTGCCGGTGCCGTGCGGGTCCAGACGGGGCACGTAGGTCGCCTTGCTGATGAAGACGATGCTAAAGGTGAAGAAGCGGCCCCAGTAGGCCATGAGCTTGGCCATGGAGTCGTGGCCCGGCTGGGGCAGGCGCGCGTCGTCGGGCACGCACTTGAGCTGGTAGAGCTGGCCGTCCTGACGGGCGAGCTGGTTGGAGTAGTCGAGCATGACGGCGAGGCAGGGCAGGTTGTGCTCAATGTCGTCGAGGTCTTCCTCCTTCTCCTTGTGGCCCGGCGCGCTCTGCTCCAGGTTGCCCTCGTACAGCGTGATGGAGCTCCGGAGGAGGGCGAGGCCGCAGTTGAGAAGCGTCTTGGCGCCTTCGTTGTTGCCCTGCATGAACTCGTAGACGATGAGGATGAGGGTCATGAGGTGGACGCACCGCGGCGAGAGGGTCGTCGGATCCTGGAAGCTCTTGCGAAAGCCGGCGACGGCCTTGAGGTGGTGGCGCAGGGCGTGCTTGTGGTGCTCGTTGACGATCTGCTTGTGCGTCCAGGGGGTCAGCACCGACGGTCGGCCCCCACGCAGGGGCTCGTCGTTGGCCGAGGCGGGCACTTCTGCCACGGCCATGGTCAGGGCGCCGACGGCCAGGATGCAGTGGCGTATGCAGTCGTCCCGCATGCCGGCTTCGAGGACGATGCGCGACCACAGGTCCTTGTACCGGTACCCCGCCAGGTGCGGGACCAAACGGTGCCGAAACAGGTCGTAGTAGACAACGTCGAGTCCCTCGAGCAGCGGCACGCCCAGAAAGGAGGGCGGCATGCCCGCTCGAGGGCGGATCGGGCGGTGGTAGTGGCGCTGGTGTGTGCCCTTCGGCTGGCTGGCCTCCTCGCTGGACGAATGACAAGGGCCGGCGGCGGTGGTCGAGGCTACCGTTTCATTGTGGGGGAAGTACCCGTCACATTCGACGTCGGCCTTGTGACAGCGGGCACACGTGGGTTTCCGCTCGTCACATTTGACGCGGCGGATCTTGCAGGTCAGACATCCCGTGCGGACCTTGGGCCTGCTCGCGCGTTTCTTTTTGAGGGGAGGCGCGGGCAACGGAGGGGCGCGCGGGTCGATCTCCTTGAAGAGGGGCGGCGGCCTCGGCGGTCGTGGTCTCAGCAGAGGCGCGGGGGGCCTCGCGAGCGCCGAGAGTTTGTTATTCTCGGGCATCACGGACGCGGCGTTCTCTCGCCGCAGAGGCTCTCGCCGCAGAGGCTCTCGCCGCAGAGGCTCTCGCCGCAGAGGCTCTCGATGCAGAGTCTCTCGTCGCAAAGGGTCGGTACCGAGATGGTGTGACCCGTCGGCGAGGGGTGATGAGATGAAGGGGAGCACGACGTTGTGGCGGCGGCATTGGCGTCATTGTTCCACGCGGGAGCCGGGGACGTCTCAATGTCTTGGGAGGTCCTTACTGGTTGCAGGTTATATACGAGCGGCGGCACCCATATGGTGGCGACGAGAACTGAGGGCGCCATGCCGACTTGGATCGGTGTCTCCGTGGGTGAGGCTGTGATGCAGCTGTGGTGCAGGATCGTGTAGTTGGTGAGAAGCCGCAGCTGGCACGAACGTCTATCGATTGGTAGAAGCGGTGTGAAGCGGGCAGGAGATGGAAGCTCATTGATTGGCCAAAATGGTGCTCGTAAAGATGGACCAATCATACCGGCTCAAAAGCACAGGGCCAGTCAGATTCGGTTGCGGGCGAGTGACTGGACTTGGCAGGTGCTTTCCATGTGCCTTATGTCAGCACACACACCTGCCTTGCATTGGCTTTGGCTTCCAAGCCTTCTTACTCCTGATCTCACCATCTCGTCGACACCCCCACGATCCCATTCTCCCGGATAGGTAAAGGCCCTCTTCCTTTTTAGCCGTGCCTCACATGCACATGCGCCGCACAGATGACACCAAGGCAAGCCAATGTGGTAGATTCACCTTTATTTTTATTTTTTCTTGGTTTTTTCTTGGGGCAGGCCTACAAACGAGCCCCACTCGATCGAGGACTTGGGCTCGGTGACATGGCCAAGTCTTCGTACCTCATTAGTCTGTACGGCTGACATGGCGGCAAGCCTGCCTCTTCGCCTTCAGCCAATGGCCTCGACGCTCAACTGCGGCGCATGCCGAACCGCGAGCCTGAATGCGATATGGCCAGCAGCGAAGAAGGGATGATATAAATGGAAATAGAGTCCCACCACTGGGCGAGCGAGGCGGCACATCATCATCAGGGTACACGTGAGGGCCTCGCCTCCTTGCTCCATCTACCTCACCACCCACCGCCCCTCGCCAACGAAGCAACGATGGAAGACTTCGACTTTATCGTCGTCGGTGGTACGTGCGAGAATGCTGACATGCTCTTTCTCGTCATGCCCTTTCTCGTCGTCATGCCCTGCGGCGCTGAACCCAGCTGACACGGACAATTTACAGATGGCCCATCTGCCGTGACCATTGCCCAACGTCTGGCGTCGTCGTCGAGCCGGCCCAGCGTCCTCCATCTTCAAGCCTGGCATGCCCAACGCCCGGATGGCACTGCGCCCGCCGTCGATCCATGCTCCTGGTCCCAGCCGTTGATGTCGACACCTCAGGCGCACCTCGGCGGCCGGGCGTTGTCGCTGGCCGCTGGACATGCGCTCGGTGGCGCCTCGACGTCGGACGCCTACCTCGATGCGTGGGCTGAAAGCGTCGGCGATGCCTCGTACCGTGCCAGTGGCCAAGGTGCTCGATCCGAGCCCCAACACGTCTTCGCTGGTCATACGAAGCCCCCCAATTTGACTGTCGACTGCCTGTCACAACCAGACAGGATCATCTTCGATGGGAAGAAGGCCACTGGTATCTCGACCAGCAACGGAACAGGTACCATCTCTCCACATGCCAGAAGCTCTTCACCGCTTCAGCTGACCCCCCCATGCAGTCCATGCCTCGAAGGAGATTCTTTTATGTGCAGGTGCGCTGCGTACACCTCAGCTTCTGCTTCTCTCCGGCATTGGGCCGAGAGACCACCTCGCTGCACTCGGAATCCCACTCGTTTGCGCCCTCCCTATCGGCAAGGCTCTCAAAGACAGTCTCATGATCCCTGTGCTGTGGGAAGTTGGCCCGGCTTTCACCGACTCTGCAGATTGGCTTTTTGACCCCGAGACGATGCGAGCACACATTCGGCAGTTTCTCAACCTCGAGACGAACCTGGGAAAAGACCACCCCAGCCTTCTTCCCATTGTCTCAGGTCAGTCGGATGCTGTTCTGGATTCGAAGGATATACCGACGCTGTCCCCGCGCTCGCAAGACTTGATCAGGCATCCAGCAACCTCGCATTGGGAATTTTGTGTCTTGCCAACCGGTGGCTCACCCAACTCAGGTCGGCGACTGCTCCAAATCAATGCCTATCCACAAGTCGTCTGCTCTACGGGTTCCCTTCAGCTGGCGTCCAAAGACGCCGCAGACCCTCCGCTCGTCGACCCGAACTATCTCTCACAGGCCATCGACCGTCAGAATGCCGTTGATGCTGTACGCATGGTGACCCGGTTCTTTGCCGTTCTGGCGTCCCTCTCGAACGACATCCTCGGTCCCCACAGCGCACCTGCCAGCGACGACGAAGCCGATGTGCTCGCGTTCATCAAAGAGTCTGCCGCGACGGCGCGTCATTACTCTGGCGCCACGCCCATGAGGACACGTCAGGACGAACAAGCCTGCGTCGACGCCGACTTTTGTGTTCTGGGAGTCGAGGGGTTGAGAGTGACTGATCTCAGTGTGACACCTCTCCTACCTGTGATCTGCTCTCAAATTACGCCAAACATTCTCGGGTCGATCCTCGCTGAAAAATTAATCCAGAAACATAGCCTCGAGTGAGCAGGGCCATTATGAGCATGACATTTCGGAGCTGAAACATACTTTGACTTTTACATGTATATTTTACTCTGACATTTCCGTGTATATTATACTCTGCCATTTACATTTATAGAAAGGGTATACCAATACTTTGTGAGGCCCCAACACCACACGCCCCGCATGCCACGACTGTAATGTGAATTGCCGCGGTAGCACTCCGACATCGCACTGCAGCGTGGCCGCTTTCTCACCTCGTACCCGTCACAATGCCGCCCTTGCGCCTCTTTTCGACGACGACGCGCAGATGATCCTTGGGTCTCAGGGTGAAGTTTGGGTTGGCATACTCCACGTCGCCATTCTGCCCCGGCGGTGCAGTGAAGCCAAATTCCCGCACCATTTCGATGATCATGACCTTCAGGGTGAGCATGGCGAACGCCTTGCCAATGCACCCACGGGCCCCGTGCAGGAACGGCACGAATGAATAGGGGTCACGACCCAGGCCCGGCTCCCTCTTTTCGCCACGCTCGTCCCATCGTCCGGGACGGAAAGCCTCGGCGTCGGGGCCCCAGATGTGCGTGTTGAAATGGGTGACCGCTGGCACGATGACGACCAAAGTGCCTTTGGGGATGAGCGTGTTCGCGAGCGTGACGTCCTCGGACGCTTCTCGCGGCAGGAAGAGGGCTACATCGGCGTCAGCTGGGTTGAACTCATACGAAGCGCGACATCCACCACATACCTGGGCTGTAGACGCGCAGCAGCTCGCGCACGAAATTGTTCAGATGGCGGAGACTCTCTATCTCGCCGTACTGCGGATTCCATGCTGCCTCCGGCTTGCCCCGGTAGAGAGCCTCGACCTCGGCGTGGAGCTGCGCCTGTACGTCCGACCTTGTCGAGAGGACGTGGGACGCCCATGTGAGCGCCGTCCCGATGGTCTCGTGTCCGCCGGCGATGAAGTTGAGGACCTGTTTTTTTTTGGTACACGTCAGCACGACAGGGTGCATGGCAGTCTGAGGAATGGTATCAGGGTCACTCCACGAAATCGAGCAGCTCTTGGTCGTCCCAGTCTTCCTGCCTCGGCGGATCCGCCGACACTCTTCGAGAATAAAACTCAGCAGGTCGCGGCCTTCTCCGATGGGGACCATGGTTTCCCTTGCCAGCGCCCCCGTCAGGCCTCTCGCCAGGCCCCTCACGCCGCCGCAGCACGCGCTGCTTCTGCAGCTGCAGCTTGCCGAGGAGCATCTGCCGGATGAGCGCATTGTCGCGGAGCCAGCGCCGGTTTAGCGGCAACGGCAGCCACGCGCGCAGGGGCACGTGGCCGTCGAGAAACGTGAGGACGTGGCCGAGGCGCGGCTGGTGGATGATGCGGTCGTAGACGGCGTGGAAGCAGGCCGACGCCGTCGAGAGGCTGCCGAGGTCGTAGCCTATGCTTGCGATGGCGAGCACGTCGAGCGCTGCCTTTTGGAAAAAGGGTTCCACCGTCACGGTCTTCGCGGCGTCGGGACCCATGTCTCTGCCGAGGGCCGCGCTGAGCTCTTTGGCTTTTCCCTGGAGGACGGGCAGGAGCCTTTTGACGTTGCTAAGAGAAAAGGGGCCTTGGCCGTGTTAGATGAGGGTACAGAGCTTCTCTTCGAGACAAAGAATCGGGGGCAAAACGGACGACTCAGCTGGTTCCTCTGACGCTTGTGGATTTCGCCCTCGGCAAAGAGGATGCCGTGGCCCGTGATGGGGCTGAACATGCGGGCGGCAATCTTCGGCTTGCAGAAGGAGTAGGACTTGGTCTGCTGCATCTCCTTGAGCACTGCTGGGCTGTTGATCATAATGGTCTCCGAGTTGCCGATTGACAGGTAGCGGATCAGGGGCTCGTCCGGCCACCTGCGCATCCAGTCGAGGAAGACGTCCACGGGCCCCGGCGTGAGGAGCTGCTTGGCCATCTGACCGATGAAGAAATGGCCGTCCTATGTGACGCTGTCAGTGAAATCTCTCGGTCAAGGTGTCCAGCCACAAAAGGAAGGAGCCGGACTCAGACTGACCGTGGGACCGGGCAAGTGTCGCAGCCTGGAGACATAGCGGGGATACACGAAGACGCGGTATGCTTTGAAAAGACTGTACTGAGCAATGAAAGCAAGAAGAAAGATGCGCAGCGGCGAGAGGCCTACGTCAAGCGCTGACTGGGCAGAGCCAACGGCCAGGACCAGTCCAGCAATGACGCTGATCTCGAGATGCATAGCGCCGTGATTCGACGGCTGTGAAGAGAGGAAAGAGTCGAGCAAAGCTGAGAGGTGTCCTTGAAGACAAACGGGGACCGAGGAGGCCTTGCCAAGCTACCTCTTTATCGTATCGTCACCGCGGTAGGAACTGTGCCGTATGCCAGAGAGGTCTGCTTCTCTCGAGTCAGAGAAGTGAGCGGCGAGGACCGGCCGGCCCGCCAGGCAAAGTGATACGACATGCCTTCCTGCCCTATTTGTAGTTTGGCCTCGACTATCGACTACAGACCTCTCATGTTTGAAAATAGAATGGGGGCTGCTCACTTGGATCCGAAAAGGGAGTCAAAGGATGCGCTCTGTCCAGGTGATCCCGCCAACCGCTTCTCGCATACGACCATCATGTGCTTCAGGTTATGCAGACCAGCTCCAAGGACCGTCATCACCCATAAGCCTCCCGTCATCGATCGTTAATAGCCTAACGGGGCGTCGGATCTGACCAGTCGGGGGCTCACATGTCCTCTGCTCCCGATGCAGCGTTACACACCACCGAACAGCCTCAGTCAGAAGAAACATCAGATTCCGCAGCCTTCCGTTTCCTGGGTCTCGAGGCCAGAACCACAATGGAAGTTCATGGGGACGATACTACTCATACGTTGGGAAAATTCCACACCGGCCTCCCTCGCAGCGAGTTGAGATGGCTTCTGTCCCCCATCCAGCGTCGCACGACGACTGCGGAACCAAGATCCGTCGGTCCTCGCCAGCCAGCTGAGACAGCGGACAGAGATTCATCTCCCATCGTCCTCCTAAGACACGCGTCCCAATGAGCCTATCTGGACCTCGACGCTATTGACGCTGCGTGACACCCGGCCCTGAGGCACGCCTGGGAAACCTCGCAAGACTGGTCGTATCGGGCAAGTTCGAGACCAGAGAGCACCGACGGAGGAGGAAAGGATGGCCACAAGGTGGAGACTCAGTATCATCGCCGCACCTCAGAAGAGGAGGGGGTGTGAGGATAGTTCTCGGTCGGCAGTGACGCGGCGGGGGTCCGCGACGTCGTACAACACGCTGCGAGAAATAATGTTTAGTGATAGACCCCCATGCGGGCGCCCGGCCGATTTCACAACGTCTCTGGCGTTTGCCGGATCTGAGGACGTTTTAAGCCCCCCCCCCCCCCTTTTCCCCTGGCCGAGTCATGGACGATTGTCTCTGATCCAGCAGGGCTCTTCCGATCGATCACGCAATGACCCTGCTCGCGGCACCCTGACCACAGCGGGCTGGGAGGTCCAAGACGCCCACTCGTGGAGATACGACTGTGGCTGACATTGAGCCAGTCGATCTCGAGACCGTGATTTTTCGGGCGCGGGGTCAACATATTGTGTGATCCCGAGCTTGGTGCGCGGGTTTGGTATTGATGAGCGCATTGGCAACAGCACGGGTATTGGACCAGAGCGTCGGTTCATGTAGGCGAGCTGGAGGACGGCGTTCGCATCTGGGACGCAGCCATAGACTCATTGCAGAGATTTTAAGACGTCATCATCACCAACTTATCATCCTGAATGACAACATGAACCAAACACCATGGTTTGTTGCCCTTCCTTTCAAAGTATTAAACGGCTAGTCTTCCGGTGTACTTGAGCCATGGTCAAGACTGGTATCAAACATGCACTGCTATTTTGGCCAGACGTCACTTGACTTGGCCCAATACCGCGCTGCGGGCACCGCATATGTCGAAGCATGATGCACGTAAGGCCAAGTATCAAGACATGTTTCGAGGACTGTCACCTACTCGACTTTTCAGCACTGGTGACAGACTCTTTAACATTGACATAGACGCTTTGAAGCAGATTCGTTAGCATGTCGTTCTAAATCAAATTCGAAAGATCAGGATTGCATTTGTCATGAGGACAACCTTCAGGGGGTTTTAACACAATCGGTTGAAAAGACCCTCATGAAGAAATTTACGACTCTGGGAGATTGAATGCAGCAGTGAAGTTGCAGGAAACATTGATAGGGTCCCTATCCTCGATGAGAAGCAGTCATCGCTCATGTCCAAGTACGACAACGACATAAATTTGCTCCACTCGCTCTCTTCTTATTTGATATAGCTTTCAATCCGTTCACTAAGTCTTGATAGTCCGCATGAATCAGACGGCACGCGGCTGCCTGTATGATACCGAGAGCGGACCCGGTATGCGGAGAAATCGTGGCAATGCCTCGGCTCGATTGGAAAAGCATTCGTGACAAGGAGCTAGCAAAGCGACTTATGGATAATCTAATGAAACTTTAATGGGTGAAGGCATACGCTTGACACATAGCTAGACTTACGTTGACGCCGCTATCTTTTACAACGGATGTTCCCTTTTTAAGAGCTGCAGAGATCCTCCTAGTTGCGGGGGGCCAGCATTCAGATGTATCACAACCCCGTACCGATTGTCTATTGCCTGCGGACCACGTGTTCAAGGCCTTTCCGCTCTGCTCCAAACCACGCACTGATAGGTCATCACAAGGCAGCAGGTACTGTTCCACCTGCCATGACCATCCCGGCCTCCTCTTCGGCCGAGAATGCACTCAATAGCTGGTGCGCGGAGTCGGGGCGATATCTCTGTCCCGTCGTAACATGCAATGGCACGGAAACCTGGTGTCCGCTGCGACACAGGCACGTGTTTGACTTTGCTAAAAGAGAGCTCGGTCAAGCAGAGCCAGTCAACAGTGAATCGGCTGCGCGCAACATTGGTCAGTCGTGCAATGCCAATACCGATAGCTTCCGACACTTGCTTACCCTCTCCACGAATCTTCCAGCCAGTGTTCGTCTGTGTGGTCCCAATCCATGGGGCTTGTCATTTGCGCGACCCCACAGAATCGCTGGCTATCAATCGTTTCGTCAGCATTTCCACTGCCTCCTGAACTGGCTGCAATGTGATTCAGCTTACCTTTTTATGACTGAGAAGAAGAACACAACTTTACCGCCTGATCTGGTATGGCCTTTCTCAATGATCTTGTTCACGCGCGGACTAGAGGTCCAGATACCGTGAGCGATGCTGGTCTCAATATCCGTCTGGTTATCTGATCGCAAAACGAAATATCGTGTCTAATTCCTGCTAGTTGGTAACGAAGCACCACAAATTTCGGATTTCAACATACCGTTTCTAACGACAGCGCTTGGAAGCTCGGCAACAGACCACTCCTGTCTAGCTGGAGGCCAGCCTGAGTGCTCATCAGCGTTCCTGCGTCACTTGCAGGTGCAGCTGCGCCCGGTGTCAGTCGTAGATTCGACCAGGCCAGTGATGGTAATGAGGCGGGGGTGACGCCATCACGATGGCGCATCGTTATGTCTTCGTCTTGAGGGTAGTCTTCCACGAAAAGTCTGTCTTAGTCAGTCTACTGCTGTTACGGTTTGACTCTGAGAGGCATATTTCACTCACGGCTCGTCATCCTCGGAGTCAACAACCTCGACCTTGATCTCTTTCAGCCAGGGATGCTTCACGGCAACGCTGGCAGACGGTCGCATGGCAGGATGTGGTGTCAATAAGCCGCCAATAAAATCACGACAGGCGTCCGAGGGGTGCACCCCAAAGACTCCGTCATACTGAACCGAGCGAGTGCCATGGACGTGGCCTACCAGGTCCGAGACGTTGGGAAACGGGTGCCGCTTCATGAGCAGCTCCAGGGCTATCACGCCAATGGCCCACATGTCCACTGTCACCGAATATGCTGCACTTGGGTTGTTTTGGGCGTTAAACCCCAGCACCTCGGGTGCCATGTATCCGAAAGTACCAATATGCATTGTTCGAAGATAAGTCCCACCTTCGAGAGCCTGCTTGCTGATGCCAAAATCAGCAATCCGTACGGACCACCTTGGCGAAGTCGATGCGACTAGAATATTCTGCCACGCGTGAGTACCGATTTCCAACCGACCGTTGCAGAATGGTCACCTACAGCCGGCTTCAGATCACGATGTGCAAAGCCACTGGCATGCATATAGTTGATACCTCGTGTTAATTGGCGAACTATGTGGCTTGTCAGGTTCTCGGTAAATGGCGACTGAGAATCCATGAATCTGCGTAGGTCTCCGAGAGGATAATACTCCATGGTTATGAAGACGGATTTCGCATTTTCGAACCATCCACGCGTCCTTACAAAGAACGGTGCATACTGTTGCCCGAGTGATCAGGAAACTGTGCTGAATACTGCCGGGGGACTATGATGACAAGTGCTCAAACTCACATTTGGCTGAGAGAACTTCGCTATTGCCTCCAATTCCTTCATGTAGTCCCAGTGGTGACCGTCGGGCATTCTTTTGCTGATCTCTTTGACAGCTCTCACGCGATGTGACGACGACTGGAAGCGCACACTTGGGTGTCCTCTTAGCCGTTCGAAGCGGACCACACCGAAAGAACCTCGGCCAATGGTGGGCTCGATGTCCCAGAGTTCCTCGAAAACGGTATCTAGGCTCGAGCTGCGCGGTGTGAGGTGCAACATAGACACTCTCCTCTTGTGTTTGACACACCCATCCAGAAACTCGGTCTGTAGCCTGCACCTGAGAACCAAAGGTGATGGCATGTTGGCCCCCACATTGGACCCCATGATGGGCTATAGGCTTGCGCAAAGTAAGTACGCTTCAAATATGGCTGGCAGTCTTTGGACGGTGAGCCGGCATGGTGCCTGATCGTTTCGATACGTTGGTAAGGTAAGATACCTAGTGCTGGATGGTATGAGTCTTATCCTCGTCACCAAAGAACAGCCTCAGCTCACCGTCACGAGACTGCTGAGGAGCCGCGCAGTCAGCCCTGTCTATGCGACAGCAAAACACCTGATGTGGCGTTCCACTCCGCCGCGCAGATCCTCAGCTGGTGACCCAATGCGTTGCTTGGCGGGTGTTCAATAGCAAATAGCGCCTAAGAGGACGGGACCCAATGGATATTGCGGCACAGCCGCCCTCGTTTACAGGGGTTCGTGAGCGGCACCGCCCTCATGGCCTCCCGCTTGCGATGGCTTGGGGGAGCCTCGTGCTACTCCTTGCGCTACGACAAATTATTTATCTTGAGCGTCCTCGCAGAATGCTCTCCCAGTGAAATAATCCCAACAATAGGTCTCATGGTTGCCGAACTACTACTTGCCGTCGCAGGTGTCATCGATGGTTGCATTAAGTGAGTTTGGCTAGGAGGCCAGCGCTACGGCCCGTGCCGCTCCTAAATCGGAGTGTCAGCAGGGCGAAGAAAAGGACGATCGCTAACCACTACAGACTCGCGAATAAAGTCATCACTACTTATCAGTCGTATCGTGGTGCAGATGAACTCATCAATGAGAGACTGGTTCTGGTGCAAGCTCTTTGGACGAAACTTGAAATCCAGCTCAATTTCCTCAAAAAGATCTCATCACAGCTCGACGAGGAGCTGGCACAAAGCCACTTAGACCTCCTCGAGATCCTCAACGGCAAGCTGCTTCAGGCTGTTGCCCGACTCAACGTCTCAACATCTTCCACCTCCAACGACTCGACTCTTAAGCAGAAGACCTCCGAAGTTTGGAGGAAATGGCGCTTCTCAATGGCGAAGAAAGGCCTCGACGAATTGGTGACCGAATTGGAGGCATGGAGAAGCCGTTTTGATCCGACATGGTATCTCATCATTCTGATGAGTAGCACCACCTTAGACACGGCGCTTAAAGAGACAGATACAAAGTCTACCGATTCGACGTCTGTCTGCTCAAGCCCTAGCCCTCTAGACAGCATGCTCGCACTTCGACACGCAATCAGCCCTCCTAAAACACCAATCTCTGGTGAATCGCAGCCAAAGACAAGCTTGAACCTTGATGCGGCTGGTCTCCGCGGCGCAACAGAAACACCAATACCCTTCTCCTCGGCTCGATCCATCGTCAGAGCAGGCTCAAACAGCCTTCTCATTGCCGAGTCTGTCAATGCGCCTCCAGGAACAATCTCACAGGTAAAAGTGGACGTTGAAAATCTTGCCCGGCGCCTCCAGCAGGTTGACCCCCAAACTTTCGGTCTTCTTCGCTGCTACGGTCTACTCAAGCATCAAGATCCCGCCACAAAGGGCCTCAAGTACATCGAAGTCGTCTATCGTGCACCGCAGGATGCCAACCCTCCCATGACCCTCCGCCAGCTTCTTCTCCGGCACCACCCTGTCAGCGCGTCAGCTATTGTGCGGACAGCGAAGCAGCTTGTATACTCCATTAGCTACATACATACTTGTGACTTCGTACACAAGAACATTCGGCCCGACAATATTCTAGTCTTTTCCGATGCCAATTCATCTCTGGGGACAAGCTATCTTCTTGGCTTCAACCAGTTTCGTAGCACCCACTTTCAGACAAACCTGCTCGGCGACGCAGCGTGGCATAGAAACTTATACCGTCATCCGGAACGGCAGGGAAACTTGGTCCAAGAGCGCTACATCATGCAGCACGACATCTACAGTCTGGGCGTCTGTCTGCTCGAACTGGGTCTATGGCGATCATTCGTGTGGTACCCGGACGAGAGCCAAAGCGACACAGCAGCGCCTGTGCCAGGAATCAGTCTTGGGTTGGCTCTCTCCGATTCTCATTTCCAAAAGACCAATACAGGAGGCGACGGGCGGCTGAAGGAGCATTTGGTGGGCATGGCGAAGACCATTCTTCCATCTCGCCTGGGAGATTTGTATACAGACGTGGTTGTGACATGTCTGACATGTTTAGACCCGGAGAATGAAGCTTTTGGAAGTCAAGAGCAGTATTTGGACGAGGATGGTATTGTAGTTGGCGTTCGATTCATCGAAAGTATACTAGACAAAATCTGCCAGATAGTTGTTTGAACTTGAGACAGGCTCAAATGAGACATGATCTGAGATCTTCGACTTTAATTCTCTTTCGCACACACTCAGGAGATGAACTGGAAAAATCAGGCCGTGTTGAACACAGTACGTGAAAGATAAAAGGAAAGGAACATCATAAGTATCTTGAACATCTGCTCAAAGTGATCACATAGTTTGGTGTGATAGAAATGAGATGTGTAATGTGATGATTTTAGCGACCCAAAGATTGAAAAACGCCATGATAGAAATTACAGTTTGAATGGACAGCCGCAGCGCCTGCATATCTCATTGAATGTTGGCGACAATCCATTCATCTTCAGCCAAGGCTTTCGCCGATGATCGCATTGAGGGTTCCCACTGAAGCATCTTCCGCATCATGGCGAGGAACCTTTACTGACTGTCACCCTCGAGGGAAGACTCCATTTCCTCAAGTGACGCACCAGCCAGCAGCCCCGCGTCGGCGCCACGTAGGTCCCCTGTAGCGAAATAACATCCTGTCAGCATGGTGGAGGCGGATGGGTTAAGTGGCCCCATCGCTAACGTCGTCGCACTTACCGGTATCCGTGAAGAATTTGTGGCTCGACCTGCCCGTTTGCAGCAGCGTCTGTGGAGGTGGTCCAAGAAGATCAATAATCTCTGCAAGGTGCGCTCGGCTACGGTATCTCTCGGACTCTGGATCGTGCCCTGTAAACAGGTGACCCCCTTCGAATGGGTCCCAGATCTGCGACGTAATTAGGGCATTTCCCATTCAACCTAGACACTAAAGCGTAGTTTCGTTGGTGGCAATAAGAAAACTCACCACACAGCCCGTGTTCCATATATCGATTGAGTAGGACCATGGTGCTTCGACGATGACTTCGGGTGCCCTGTAGATATCCGGTTGCACGTCCTCCAGGCGTTCGACTTCCCCAACAACGGCTGAGCCGAAGTCACAGAGAACAGGTGCACCCCAGGCTTTTGGCATCTGTAGTTCTCGAGAGACATAGATGCTTCAACCATCCACAGTTTTCCGCGGAGATGGGTCGCTGAGCTCTTCTTCCTCGAATGCTGTGAAGACGGAATCATCTTCGATACCGAACATGATGTTGTCAGCCTTGATATCTACCCACCATAGGTCAGTATAGTCCTCGAAAGATAAGCAGAATGGTTCAATTGAAGGATGAGATCCTTCTAGTTCTCTAACCTACCTGTGTGAACAACCTGGCAGTCTGTGTGTAGGAAGTCCAAAGCTTGAAACATGCGCCGAAGGGTAAAGGCGAGAACGGGCACGGGCAATCTCCCAACTGGATTTCGGTGAAGGAAAGTCAGCAGGTTTTCCCACAATGGAGGATGCACTAAGCATCGATGCGATCCTTCTGGTCCAGCGATATCGAATGAGTCGAGAAGCTCCCTGACTGCGCCGCGACCAGGATGCGTCGAAGAAGCATTAGAAATTCGCCTGTATATAGACACCTCGCGATCTAATTGTTCGCCCATAGACTGTGAGTGAATGAAAAGCTTCAGTGCCACATGTCGACAACCCCTAACATTGCGTCAGCGGAGCTAGTCGTGTGTTCTAGGGCTGATCCACAAGGGAACCCAAGATTATCTTACTCTAGGTCGCGCGCCAACCAAACAGCTGAGCTGGCACCAAAGCATAGCTTTCCTACAATCTGATAGCGATCCTTGAGGACCTGGCCGATGATGACTGGGTAGTACCGCGATGCTTTGTAGTCTGGGAAGAGCTCCTCCTCTACTCTTTCGCCAGGTGGAATGCGTAAGAAATCAGGGTTCGGAAAAGTCAGGGGTTTCCATACTCGGCTGGACCAGGGTACCTTCCGCAAAAAAGACGCCATTTTCTGAGCTTCAGGTTCAAAAACAAACCGATCTTGAGATTAGGTGAGAAGCCGCCGGAGAGACGTTTCAAGGATAGCGGGTCGTGGAGGACAGACTGGCCTGGGTTTGATGCACATTCCAAGACCTCCCCGAGGCCGCCATTCTTCTCAATAAGTACCCACTTTACATAACCAGTTGTCATGTCCCGCATGATCGCTACTATTCATTCAAAGCTGCATTGCTGGGAAGCATTTCCTTAGCCACAGTCAACATGACTAGAAGCTTCAAAGCGCCATGTACGGTTGGTCTATTGTCTGGGTGGCAATTTTGCCAACGAAAAAGGGAGGAGAACCATCGTCAAAGCTGAAGGTTGCGTGTCTTGCGTCAGGCGAAGCCTACGAGTTGATTCGTTATACAAGACCCAATGATAGGTCATGCATACTCAGGCTAAGAGTTGAGCTGGCAAGCTAAACAGAGTCATACATTATGTTTCTCCTCTTCAACCATGGATACATCGATCCAAGGAGCTTCATTCAATATCGTGGACTTCTTTGGCTGCACACTGGTCGGAGGCTCCTGATAGTGACGACGTTGGTGGCAAGCCTCTGTCAATAGAAGGTGTCAGTGCGTGGTTTAGAGCAGAGTGAAGAAGTCTCCCGCAGGGTCCGCAGGTAGTTACAATGTAGGTCTGGGGTCAGAATACATTTGAATTCCGGCCCTCCACAGTTTGGAGGACCCTCCGCAGCCTCCATATATACGTCCTCTCATCGCTCTTAGCCCCTGTCCGACCCCCTGCTTGGCGGCTCCTGGCGGCTCCGCAGGGTCGCCTGACAGAAAGGCAGAAGTCTTGCAGTCATGCGCAGGTTTTTTTCTTGGTCTGAGCCAGAGTCCATCGTGCCTGCAATATGATAATGAAGAGTCTTAATTAGTGTCAAGTCAAAACGCACATGTGAAATTAGACAACTCAACTGAAACATGAGATGAGCCTTTACTATTTTGGCGATTGATACTTGTGCTTCATTGTTTGAAATTGTTGTACGAAGCTCAACTAAAGACCATTTTCTTTTCTTTATGAATGCCTCGAAACTTTCTATTACTGCCCACAACTGAGTGGCGTAGATTAGCTACTCTAAGGCTGATCTGTCTGACGTATACAGGCGTGCCGTTGAGTACTACACTAATAATGGTGAGGAGATTATATTTGTCAAAGACAGATCATAAATTGCAGTCTCTGACCTGTTATAAAAGGTCTGTGAAATCGAATCCATCGAGACGTTGTAGTTGAACCAGTCGTTCTCGTCATCTGTCTGAAAGCTAAGAGTTCGTTGATAAGACACCGCAGGAATGGTGGTAGTCCTTAACATCAACTCCATTGAGATCGTAAAGACTCTGGTTTTGTCATCAGTTTTCGCTTCACGCCTAAAAACAACTTGCGCAGGGCGAGAAACCATCCAAGTTCGAAGCCCTACCTAAAAGTTTGCTGCGGATGTCGCCTGCGGAAGACCCCTCTGCTCTGCCCATACCCTCTCTCTGCAAGTTCCGGCTTATCATACAAGCATCCCTCCAATCAGTAGCGTAGCTCGCCATCGAGACGTGACGTCGGCCCGCCTTGAGGCCCACAGCATATGATCCTTAAAGTTAATGGACGGTTCGCGGGATAGCCTCAATGTCACATGTCTTCAGGGCTGTGATACTACTCTCAACCTGCTTCAGTCCATTTCGGTCTTCTATAGCACTTTTTCTCGCGATGGTATTTGCTTCCCATCACTCCGTTGGTGTGCTGCTTCCGCTCCACGTTTTCACATCCCTAGCAGAGAATCTGCCCGCATGTAGCAATGAGCGATTATGTCGTCCAAAGACAGTGCTGACAGCACGGCGTCCGCTGCGTTGTTGTCCACAGGAAACACTGACCCGCGCTGTGATAGTGCTCGCGAAGTGCAAGGGAATCGACCGTCTGTGAGCCGTAATGTGCGAACATCCGCAGAGCGACATACGCTAAGCCCGCCTCAGCTGGAGCGCAGACTGGCAACCAGTCCCACAAGTCCGGCCGTCCCATGACGTAATGGCTATGATACACCAGAGATGTTCGTGTACTTGAGACGATTCTCGTCTTGTGCCAACGGGGAGGCTCACTCTATTCTTCCTGCGTAGCATACAATCACACGTCACATCGCAACACATCGCAATCGCACACCATGGACTGGACATCCTACATCACACGCACGCCGCTGTCGCCCGAGATGGTGCAGTCCATCCACAGCTCGGACGAAGCCATGTACCCAGCAGGCATCCCCCTCGAGCGCCTCGAGGCCTGGGTTGCCGCGGCGCCGGAGCTGTCCATGGCCCTGCACGCCGGCGACACACTCGTCGGCGTCGTCGTCGCGCTGCCGCTCGCCGTGCCGGCGTGGCGGGACCTCGGCGCGGGCACGCTGCGCGAGTCGGCCATTGATGCGGCGCGGGACGTTTCGCGGACCAAGGGCGACGCCGTCGGCGTGCATGTGTTCCACATTGAGAAGCTGGTCGAGGAGGTGCAGGGGTCCGCCGTCAAAGGCTTTGCGCGGTTTGCCGTCGACGAGTTGGTCAAGGCTGCGCAGGGGGAAGGATACGTTGTCGAGGGGGTGTCCGGTATGTATTTGCTTTTCCCCTTTTTTTGGTTTTTCTTGTGGACAATGGGACAAGAAAACTGTCCGAGGTGTCTGTTGTTGAGAAAACGCCGAGTTGCTGACTGACACACTATCCAGCTCTCACGGCTACGGAAGAGGGGCGGCGAAGTTTCGAGAAGCTCGGTTTCGCGTCGAGTGGGTACAAGGAAGTCTGGGTCAAGTCTCCGTCAGGGGATGGGCCGGCGGTACTTGTCAAGAGTGGGCCGGGGACGGCCGGTGGGATCGACGATGGCAAACAGTCGGACATGGTCGTGGCTGAGGCGCGGATGATGGTAAGGAACGGCACGAACTAGGGAGGGGTCGTGAGCCGTGTGGCATGGAAGAGGAGGCTTCGCTTTCGGAGGTAGAGTGGTGGAGCAGGGGTCGGCATGATGTCAGGCCGCCCTGCCGCCTGGACCGGGTTGGGAGCTGCGAACATAAGCAAAAGCCAGTCATTTCGTGAATTGACTTTCGGCGATAATGACTGATAGGGCTGGGGGGGTCGGTGAAGGTTGATCCGTGTTGAGGCAGGGAGCATGAAGAAGTGAGCATGGCGGGGTGGGGGGAGGGGCAACAGAAGACAAGAGTTTGCAGGAAAAGGGGAATTCGGATTCTGTGTAAGGCACCAACGGTGCTTGATTTACGGATAGTTGCATAAAAGGGCGCAGGAACCGAGGCCGCCTCTCTGCTCTGTAAGCAAGCCGAGGTCCCCCTACTCGCTGGTTGCTGGTGTTGGCCCAATCAAGGACCTTGATGATCTCTCGGGAACGGCGTCATGTCTCTTTTCGTCACAACCCCGCCGCACCCACCAGGCAACGCCGAATCGAAACCAGGCGAACCCATCCATCCTGTACAGCAAACAGCACACCCTTCCTAACCTTACTCGCCTGTCGCCCAGAACGTCAGAATCTCTCCGATCAATCAAATCTCTTGTGCGTCCATGACGTGACAATGGGGTCTGCCGTTGGCGCCTACGCCAAAACACAGGTTGGACCCTGGATTTGTAATGGTGATGGCTGTCGAACGATATAAAGCCTCGACCTGGCCTCCTCCTCCTTGACGTATGCCATCATCTTCACAGCCCCGAGTCCCATCATCCATCAGCACTCTATCGATCCTGCGACACATTGTGCCCCGCAATTTTCCATCCCACAGATACCCCTCAACACCAAAGACAGCCCACCTACACACATATCCACCATGGCGCCCACCTCCAACAAGTCCTTCATCTACAAGAAGGTGCCCCAGGGCTTCCCCGTCCCCGGCCAGGACCTCGTCATCGAGGACAGGCCCATTGACCTCGAGAATGCGCCCCTCCACGGCGGCGTCCTCGTCGAGGTTCTCTACACCTCCTTCGACCCCTACATGCGCGGCCGCATGCGCGATCCTAAGGTCAAGTCATACTCGCCCCCCTTCGACCTCGACCAGCCCATCGTGAGCGCCTCAGTCGTCAAGGTCCTCCGCTCTCGACACGCCCGAGTTCGCCGGTCGGCGACGAGTTCGCCTTCCTTCTACGGCCAGAACGCCCAGTACGCCCGTCATCCCGGCCCCGGCCTACAAGCTCAAGGGCCTCAGCAAGATTCACAACCCTCACAACCTGCCCGCCCACTACTTCATCGGCATCCTCGGCATACCCGGCACCACGGCCTACGAGGGCCTCTACGAGATCGGCAAGCCCGTCGCCGGCGAGACCATCTTCGTCTCCTCGGCCGCCGGCGCCGTCGGCCAGCTCGTCGGCCAGCTCGCCAAGGCTGAGGGCCTCAAGGTCATCGGCTCGGCCGGCTCGCAGGAGAAGATCGACTTCATCATCAACGAGCTCGGCTTCGACGGCGCCTTCAACTACAAGACGGACGAGCCCAACGAGGCCCTCGCGCGCCTGGCCCCCAACGGCATCGACATTTACTGGGACAACGTCGGCGGCGCCCAGCTCGAGGCCGCCCTCAACGCCATCAACAAGAACGGCCGCATCATCGGCTGCGGCTCCATCGTCGACTACAACGTCAAGCCCGAGGACCGCTACGGCGTCAAGAACCTCTTCAACATCATCGGCAAGTCCCTGACCTTCAAGGGCTTCATCGTCAGCCTCACCCCCGAGCGCTACCAGGCCTTCAACGACAAGGTCCAGCCCCTGCTCGCCGACGGCAAGGTCAAGGCCAAGGTCGACATCACCGAGGGCATCGAGAACGCCGCCGAGGGCCTCGTCGGCATTTTCCACGGCAAGAACTTTGGCAAGGCCGTCCTCAAGGTCAAGGCGTGAACTGGTTGGTAGCGTATAGATTGCATATTCATCGGAGCTAGGCGCAGGGGCCTGTCAGGCAGGATTCAATGAAATTTATGACCTTTAATTGCTTCAACATTGTGACTGGTGTCCGTGTGCTGTGCGATCAAGCCAATCATGAATGGTCGAGGATGAATACGTACAGATACATGTCGAGCAGCGAAAGCTGGCCCAAATGTGGTGGTTACAGGATCAGAAAACGCAACATCATGAATACAGGTATGATTGACATTGTCAGTACTACTAGATTGTGTCGTCAATCATGCATTTCATAGTAACATGGTGATGAAATACTGACCCCTCGCATCCACACGTCGTCACTTCCACGCTACGGAGCTGATCCCCTCTATCATGTCGTCCAGCCTGCTTGAGCACAAGTACGCATCATGGAGGGTCATATGTACCTAGTTCATAGTTTTCAAACTCTTATGGGTATATTGTATCTATCGTGCGAATTCACCATGTCACTACCAAAACCTATCATGGCTCGATCCAACCCGTGGCATCCCAGCTCCTTCGTCCAAAAACGAAATGCATCCCGCTTGTAAATAACATGTATCACGCAGCCCCAACAACTCACGACCTGCCAAACAGCTTCTTCGCCGAAACGCGCCTCGAGTCCCGCGACGCCGAAGGGGGATACTCCGTCTCGGCGCCGTACGACCCGTAGCCGTTCTCCACAGGGCTGACCCCGTACTGGTCCTCCGTCCTCAGCTTCTCGGGCCGCGGCGGCGGGGGTGGGGCATGATGCGGCACCGACCGCACCGGCTGCTCCTCGCTGTGCCAATCGCCCGAGCTCTGGGTGCGAGGTGCCTCGACACGGGGCGTTGGCAGACCCTGAGGCGCGCCGTTCGACGCATGGGTGTAGTTGCCGTTCACGACGGCATCAGCCTGGGGTGCCGTGGGCTTGCGCGCCGGGCGATGAGCCTCTGTCGATGCCCTGGGAGGGGGAGGCTGGGTGTTGGAGGACGCGGTAGCTTGTCGTGGGTGCTGTTGGGGGCGTTCCTGGGGGCGCGACTCGTCGTCCTCGTCGGAGGTTTCCTCGATGTCGCGATCTTCATCAGCGTAGGCCCGCAACTCCTTGCGCATGGCGAGGCTGGCGCAAATGTCTCTGGCCTCTTCAATGGCGTTCTTCTGTGTCTTGAGTGCCATCCTCTTGTCACGCGTCTCCTTGTTCTCGGCTGCGATGGCCTCGACGCCATCATCCGCCATACCCATGATGGCGACCGAATTGAAGATGCCATACATGCCCTGAAGCAAGTGACGCTCAATGACTTGCGTAATGGTGTTGCGAATAAAAGTCTTGGCGGCAAGCTCGTAGAAGATCAACATCTTCTCCAAAACCTCCTGCGCCTCATTGTAGGTGCCACCATCCTTTGTCGTCTCGACGTGCCACTTGCGCAGGCGCTCTTCGTACTCGGGATCATAGGGCTGGATCTCAAGGTTCATGTCTTGTGTGAGTCGCTCGAGCTCCTCCTGGGCACTGGCCATGAGGGCCCTCATCTGGGGATCGAGGAACTGCGCGCGCAGCGGTTCCCTCATGCGCTGCGGCCAGGCAAAGTCAATGACCTCACTGAGAAACTCGTTGCAGACGACGCCAAGGTTGTCCTTGTGCTCCTGGGCCAGCTTGGGCCAGTTCTCCGAGTAACTCTGGAAAAGCATGTAGACGGCACGAGGCTTGGGGTCCATGGGAAACTCGGAACCGCGAATCTGGCGCAGAAGCATCTCGACCTCGTGTGCGACGAACTCCTTCTTGCCGCTGTCGCCGAGGGGCACAGCGTTGGGCGCGCGGGGGTCGGTCGATGAGGCAAAGCCAAATTTGCGGCCGTTCTGGCGGATGCGATGCGAAAACTTCTCGTTCTCTTCAATGGCGCGGGCGCGAAGGTTTTGAGCGGGCGTGCCTCGAGGGTCGGCCGTGGCGCGGAAGAAGTTCTTGCGAGGAGGGTTCTTGTAGAAACCGTAAACGGCGGGAATGACGAGCTCCTTGGAGGACGAGAAGAGTTCTACAAGCTCAACCCGCATCTCGGGCACCGTGTCCTTGCCTTCGCCCATGGACTTGAGCTCCGTGTCGCAAGTATCCAGCGCCGTCTGGATCTGTTTCCTGAGCGTCTTAACGTGGCGGCCAATATGACGCTGCAGCTGGACGCTGAGCTTCTGCTTCAGCGCCGGCACACCACACATGGACTCTGGCAGGGCGCGCCACTTGCCGCGGCCGAAGAATTCTTGCTCGCGCTCCTGACGCTCGCGAGCAGTAGGCCAGGGCTGGCCTTGGTCGCGAGGTCCAGGATTCAGCAAGACGTACCAGCCGAGCTTGAAGAAATTGGCCTGGTCTCTGTTCTGGACGAGATCGATAAATTTGTCTTCGAGGCCGATCGACTCGCAAAGATCGGGCTTCGTCAAGACGCCGATGGTGCGGGAACCACTGGGGTCGAACTGGCGGGCTTTCGTGAGGATGGGTGCTTGCACGTAATCGGTGTTACCG